TAGATAAAGTCTGTCAATGTCACTGCGTGGATGAAGGGCATGATTCATTGTCATTATTTTTCTGGTCTTCCTATCCATTGCTTTTAGTTCTGCTTGAGTCCAGTCCACTATTCCAGCTGTGTATCTAATGACTGGAATTGCCCAGGTGTTGATTGCCTTTATGGTATTTCCTCCATTGAGTTTGGACTTTAAGATCTTCACTCTCTTGATGTATTCACCTCTGATCTTTTTCTTGACTTCAGTGTGCTTGATGTTGTCAGCTTGAAGGATACCCAAGTATTTGTAGTAATCTTCCTCATCCAGACTCTTAATGTTATTTTCATGGGGCATCTTGATTCCTTCAGTTTTCACTATTTTTCCTTGTTTGATAGTAAGTGTGGCACATTTGTCCAAGCCAAACTCCATTGCAATATCTTGGCTATATATACGGACAGTGTTGAGCAGCGATTCTATTTCAGATGATGAAATAATAATAATAATAATAATAATAATAATAATAATAATAATAATTATTATTATTATTATTATTATTATTATTATTATTATTATTATTATTATTATTATTATTATTATTATTATTACTATTATTATTATTACTATTACTATTAACATGACTCGGGTCGCTGCCCCATTGTAAACACATGCCAACTGCTAAGCACCCAAATTTTGATCCTACCACCATTATGCAATGGTCATAACTGTGAGGACCACATTTTTTTCAGTGCCACTGTAACTTCAGTTGCTAAAGCGATGGTTATAAGTTGAGAACTACCTGCAGTAGGCCAAGATTTAGTAGCAGAGTTGGAAATTGGCTGCAGGAAAAAACTTCAAGGGTTCTTGGTGACTGCAGGGCTGTCCGTTGCCCCCTCCCTGTTTTCCATCAAGGGGTATGAGATTTAGAAAAAATAGAAGCCACGATGGAATCTTAACACATTATTCTTTTTAGGCAACCATGAATGTCTCTCATTGCCTCCATAATATCACCACCGTGGAAGAAGTCATGCGCCATATCGCTATCGTCACCAATGTGATCATCTTGGTTTTGGGGGTTTCTGGCAACGGGCTGGTCATATGGATCATAGCTACACGAAAGAAGCACAAAACCTTCACCTCCATCTGCTACCTCAACCTGGCGGTGGCCGACTTCCTGTTCTCCATGGGTCGTATCCCTGCCCTTGTACAAGAGATCCTGTACCAGCAATGGCCCTTTGGCCTCATGCTTTGCAAGGTCCACAGCTTCGTCCGCTACCTGACTACCTTTACGAGCGTCTACATCCTCACGGTGATCAGCCTTTATCGCTGTCTGATGGTAGTGAGGCCTGTCTGGGCCCGAAACCACCAAAGCCCTCGTTTTCAAACCCTGATGTGCATTGGAGCATGGACCCTGGCTTTGTTCTTCAGCATCCCTTACCTCGTGGTCCGCACTCTCGAAGTCAGGAACGGTGCCTCCTGTTGCATCTATCACAAGGCTCTCAAGAACTCCACCGAACTGCCCCTGAGAATGAGCCGGTTCTTCGGGGGCTTCCTCCTGCCCTTCATCGTCATCTCCACGGCTTACTCCATTCTGCTTTGCAAGCTTCGCAAACGGCGCTGGAAAGGCTGCCACCGCACCATCAGCCTGGTGGCCGCCATCGTCGCCCTTTTCTTCATCTGCTGGCTGCCCCACCACGTCTTTGTGCTGCTGAACACCGTTTGGAGCAAGAACGCCCTTTGGGGAATTGCGCTCAAGCTCTCCAATGCGTTGGCCTACCTGCACGGCTGCATCAACCCAGTACTCTATGGGTTTGTGGGCTACATCCGGAGCAGAGGCCTCCGCCGCCGGGCCTCCTTCTTGGGACTTTTCCGCAGGGCTCTCATTGAAGAGGACACGTCATTTGCGACCGAAGCATCGGAGAATCTTAATCAGAAGACTTAAGGAGGCAAGGAAGGGTGGGTGTTTTCCGTTGCCCTCTCGAAGAATAAGATGTTGATGATGCTGTGTGTTCAATGGAGTCTGACTCTTGGTGATTCTATGGACTACAGTAGTGGCCAAAGTTGTGGAAACCTGTTGGGGAAAGTGTACATTTGAGGTTTGATGGGTAATAACACCACCTTTTTTTGGAGTACTACCATAAAATTATATATCAATGGAAAGATAATCTAATCAAGAATGTAATGCAACAAAGTTTGTTCAGTTATCTGTACTGTGTATTCTATGAAAAGTTATAGCCAAATAACCAGAAAAAGGAAGCACAACTTGCTTAGGTTGATCTCAGGTAGCTTTCCTTCATCTGATTGTAGCCAATGAGCATGAGTGTTTAGAGAGCCAATCAGGTGTCATCTTGTTTTGGCCATGAGCCAATCAGATCACAGTAGGATTCAGTTATTGATGTCATGTATTGAAGCTGAGAGGAGGACATTTGTCAGTGTGTTATGTGATGGCTATCAAGTTGTTTGGGGTTTTTTGTGTTCTTTCATTTAGTGAGCTTCTAAAACGTAATAAAAGTAAAGTAATGGTGCAAAGAGTTGACTGGTCGTCTAGAAAACGATGTAAAATAGTATTATTAAGTGAACAAGGTTACAGTTATAAAGAAATTAGAAGAAAAAATGGGTGGAAACTTAACCAAAGGGGGCATTTCTACTGTACATTTTTCCCAAAAGGTTTCCACAATTTTGGCCACTACTGTAGGTCTCTCCTCCTCTTCCAGTCTTGCACTACTACTTTGAGTTTTTCTATCCTCTCTTAGCTTTGATAGTGTCCAACCACCGTGTTCTTTGATGGCCTGGTTTCCTTTTACTGCTAACTTTTCCAAACATAATTGCTTTCCCCAGTGAATTCCCCAGCATGACATGGCCAAAGAAAGTGAGACACATTTTCATTATTTTGCCTTCTAGTGACACATCTGATGTTATGTGCTCCAGTATTTGCTTCTTAGTTGTCATCCAATGACTCAAAGAGTAACCGTAGAGCAAATGGTCATATATCCTATGAGAACTGCTATGGTTGAACTAGACAACAATCAGTTTGAATAGCAAGGATATCTTATTATCTGAAATGGTATAGGTCAGGGGTAGGCAACCTTGGCTCTTTTATGACTCGTGGACTTCAACTCCCAGAATTCCTGAGCCAGCATGGCTCAGCTTGGAAACCTCTCCCTTTCCTCTCAGCATGGCTGGCTCGGGAATTCTGGGAGTTGAAGTCCACGAGTCATAAAAGAGCCGAGGTTGCCTACCCCTGGTATGGGTTCTCCTGCTTGAGCAGGAGGCTGGCCTAGAAGACTTCCATGGTCCCTTTCAGCTCTATTCCATTCTAATTCTAATTTATTAATCTTTGTTATTATGAAGTTTTGGCATACTCGCTAGTACAATGAGCCTAGCAAACTCCTTCATCTATAGGTAGTGCTTGCTTACCAGCTGCCTTGTTTAGCAACCATTCAAAGTTATGACGGTGCGAAAAATACTGACTGGGGAATTCTGGGAGTTGAAGTCCACAGGTCTTAAAGTTGCCCAGTTCGAAAAATACAGATGTGGATGGACTGTGCTCAGAACTGGGTGTATACCGCCATCTTATGGCTATAAACATTATCATAGATTGTTGCACTTTTGTGGTTCAGTTTAAAAAACTTCTTACTCTATGCCAGGGGTATCAAGCTGCCGGCCCACGGGCTGGATGCATCATGCTGAAACCGTGCCCACCCCATTGCCGCTAATGGAAAAAAAGTCACGATATGTTGCGACACGTCACGTGATGTTGCGAGTTTGACACCCCTGCTCTATGCGGTCATTCCAAATTTCAAGCTATTGTGCCAGGTTAGTGTTTGCCACTGTATTTGAGCATCCTGATGCATCGGTAAAGACTTTCCTTGCCACAGAAGTGAATCACTGCAGTTGGTAGGTCGTAAAACAGGGCAAAACTCATTTAAGAAATGTCTCACTTAATTAAGGTGAGCCTCAATTATCGTCCTAAGTCGAGGACTACCTGTAATCTCTCTAAAATAGCTAATAACCTGCATGCCATCTCTTTGTCTAATATGATAGCAGTGTTCCAATATCTAAGGGGCTGCCATAATGAAGAGGGAGTCGAGCTGTTCTCCACAGCACCTGAAGGCAGGACAAGAAGCAACAGATGGAAACTAATCAAGGAGAGAAGGAACCTAGAACTAAGGAGAAACTTCCTGACAGAACAATTAACCAGTGGAACAACCTGCCTCCAGACGTTGTGGGTGCTCCAACACTGGAGGTGTTTCTAAAAAGAGATTGGACAATCATTTGTCTACAATGGCATCGGGTCAGTGGTGGGATTCAAATATGTGAACAACCGGTTCTCTGTGTGGATGCCCCTTCCGGAAGTCCATTCTGGGCCTGAGCAACAAAAAAGTAGCTACCAGTCCTGCCGAACTGGTGTGAACTGGCTGAATCCCACCACAGGAAGGAAGGAAGGAAGGAAGGAAGGAAGGAAGGAAGGGAGGGAGGGAGGGAGGGAGGGAGGGAGGGAGGAAGGG